TTTTTCAGAAATACTGCACATTTACATTTTTCTCCTAAATAAATTCTGGTAAATAACATTTCTGTTAAATACTCTTTTAAAAAGTGTTTTTTGATTATAATTTTATTAATAGTAGACTAGAACACGTGGATATGTTGTCATTCTTACACTATAATACTGAACTTTGATTTCAGTGATTTGGACTATGAGACGACACTTGCTTCTTGTACTCTATGTTGCACTTTACTTTTGCTTTAAAAAAAAGGATTTCATAGAAATTTGGATTTCATTTGGTTTAATAAAATATAGTTTAATAAAATATTCTTAAGTAAAATTGTAGATTTTTTTGGGTGGGAAATTAATCGTTTAGATTAATCGATAAATTAGTCGTTAGATTAATCGAAATAAAAATAGTCATTAGTGGCAGCCCTAAAACTAAGGTTTTGCCTGTGTATTTTAATCACGAACCAAACATAAATGCTGCATACATGTTATTTAGATTGTAAAATTTTGAAATTTAAAACAAAAAAACAAAAACAAAATTGTCTGACTTTAGCTTTGTGATACTACATAAAAAATCTGAACAAAACATCACTATTGAAGATAGCCCGTCGGGCTGGGCAGTGATATATTTTGGTAGCCCGACTGGAAAACACAATAGCCCCGGGACGTCAGGCTAGCGATTTTGCGAACCCTGGTTTGACATTATATTTACATCTTCTCCAGTTTATGAGTTAGATTTTATGAGACTGGCTATTTAAAGAGTTTGTTTAGTCCTGGATTTGATGAGGAGCTACACACTGCCCCTCAAAGCGGTGAGCGTCCACTGCAACACAAAGTCACACAGGGGAAGCCTGAAGAAAATTCAGCAGACCATCACGACTGGACAAAATACCCCCAAAATCTTTTCCACTAGACTGAACATTGAGGCTCTTGATGCTTACACATTTACCCACCAGATTATTAATAGAAAATAAAAACTTTGTTTCCATAGCAACAGTTATAGTCCATATGGAAAGTGTCTCCTCTTGTTGCCAAGACAACCAACCCACGGTGAACTCGCAGTTGAACGATGTAGAGCTGTTGATCTATCCCCAAACAAGCCTGGACAACATACAAAGCTGACCTTAAGAACAGAGTTTGGCTAATATTGAAATCGTGAGACTTGAGAAAGAAAATCTTGCTGGGATTAAGAATTTAAGGACTGTTTAAAACATTACATGTCTTTCTGTGTTCTCATTAAACCTACAGTATTTACAGCAGAGAACTCTAGACCAACTCTAGTTAAATAAATGAAAGCATAATTTCCCCTTCTCTCTGTTACTCTCGCTGCAGACATGAGCTCACAGAAGTTTCCAATAACATTGCTGTGTGCACTGAATCCAGGCTTGGGATACGGGCCCTGAATATTCCCACTACTGTCACCGTATGAGAAGAGGTCAAGGGTCAACTTGCACGCCCGAAAACTAAACAAGCCCTAAAAATCAGTCCTTACAATGGCCCCCAGTCTTCGAGTAAAGCATGTGGAAGTGTTTAATGAATGACTAGGGTTTGGAACTGAGCACTGGTTCCTGTTTAGAACTGGTTCAGAAAAAAAGAAAACTTCTGTATTTTTTTGTTGATATAGATGGAACATTATACTTAAATACTCTGACAGTGTTTTGGGAGAAGTGTTGCACCGCTACTGAATCTACAGTGCCAGAACAAAAATTACATGCAGTTTGAATTAATAAAATGAAACGAAAACAAAAAACAGACAGTGACTCAGGAATTAGTCTCATTCAACTGAATAACTCAAATGGTTCTTTGCTCACTGAACCACAATTCATTTAATTAAGTCCAACACAAAATGGACAACAAATTGTATGTGTACTTAATGTCGTGCACTTCAAAAGATTATAATTATTGACTGTTGTTCATGTGTCAATGACAAGCTAACGATACATATAGAAAATAATATTACTTTTATTTAGGAGTTAGGACCAATCGTGCAGGATGGAGTTTTTTTTTTGTTTTTGTTTTTTCAAAAGTGCTAAACAAATCATTTCAAAAATAGCTAAAGAAACAAAACAATAAGTGGGATCAGAACAAGAAAAATGGATATCTAAGAAAGCTTCTTTGTATTAATAAGCACTTTCTGTAAAATGGCCTGGACAGTTTCATATCAGAATGACAGCAACATATGAGCAGTTGTGGGAATTTTGTTGCTGCTTGTCAAATTGAGAATATCTGGTTTGTTTTAAGAGAGTCTTATTATAGACATGTATAGCTTTTTTCTCTGAAGTAATATTAGTCAAGGCTTCTTGCATCAAAAAATACTCTGAATAAAACAGACCATTTTTGCTACTATACCTTTAAGACCTCTATTCGTAAATGAGCTGTTATGATTGGATAATTTCCTAATGTAATCTGATTCGCAGAGTGGGCTGAGTACTAAATACTGAATGTTCCCTATTAAAAGTCCATTAAAAGCTTGCTTTCTTGATTGGCAAATGTTATGATCGTGTAACTTGGAACAAAAGAGAAGTGCCATGTCCGCATAGGTCAACACAAAAAAAGTCCTCAGCACAAAATTGTAACACAATTCAATTCAGACAAGTTGATTAATGTCAGGAAGAAACAACCGCCATCAGCTCAAATGCAAACATCAGCGGTAGCTTTGTAAATGCTGAGTTGGAAGTAAAATGTTCTTATACTTACGTTCCCAAAACCTCTTTAAAGTCATAGATGTCCTTGATGCTCGACGTTTTCTTTTTCCAAGAGTGTCCATCCTCTCCCAATGGCATTTTGCTACGGTCAATGTTGGATAAACTGAGAGAAGAAGAGGAAACCATTCAATTACTATGCTATGCAACACAATCCTACAGATTTTTCAGGCCAAATCTTACATTTTGTGACATGAAATTTCCCAGAAACGAACTCGGCTTCAGCTGAATTTCTAAAAACTTTGACCTATAGGGCAATTCACTTGGACTTTGACCTCACCATGTGGAAATATTCAGGTTTACATGACTGCAGTATCATTTAGCTACAAGTGTCACCTTAAGACACATGATGTGTCTTTAAAGCATTAAAGGTGGGGTAAGTGATTTCTGGTAGCCAATGTTGACATTTGAAATCACCAAAACAAACACACCCCTACCCCAAAAGGGTCTCACCCCTATTTTGATAGCTCCGCCCCAGATTGGCTACAAGTTTGTTTTGCTATTCGGCCCGAATCAGTTTTCCTAAGCGTTTTTGAAAAATCACTTACCCCACCTTTAAGAACTTTTACTATGTGTAAACGGATCGGTATTAAGACACCATCATGTCAAAGCAAGTGCTCCCAATCTGTCTGTTTTTCCTTGAGTATTTCAAAGCAAGGGTTCTGACAACTACACACTTCTATAACCCAGGCCTGTTTTATTTAGCTCAGTCTTCAGTGAGACATGAGAGTGTAAACTGAGCTCAGTCAGCCGCAGCTACTTAAAGAATCTTGCAACACTTGTGTTTCCACATGGTTTTATCTTTTATAGGTTGTTAGTTTGTACTGCACATACAAAGAAAAAGTTTAATTCTTAGCTGGTTAAGCATAGTGGAAACTAATGATTTTATGTCTTAATTCAAGACACTAAAAAAACGAATTTACCTGCTACTTACCTGTTCTATACCTGATCAAAACTTCCACCTGGACAAAAATGGCTAAAGGGCACCGTTAGGGGCCATTCATGCAGAAAACGTTTTTGTGCTTAAAAACGCAATACACAGTCATTGAATGAAAAAAAAACTGCAATGTTTAGAGACCAGTTTTTTTTTTTTAATTTCTCTTTTTTTTTTTTAAGTTGAAGTGTTTTAACGTGAGCGTGGTGCTTTTAGAATGGAGTCTCAAACACGTCCATGTTTTTACAGAGAGAGAGAAAAAAACGTTCTGTGTGATGGAACACAGCAGACACCCAGCAAAACTTTCAGCTATAATTATATATGCAATATTGAATGGCTTATATTGACCAATCAGCATTAAATATCAGTATCGGAAATAGTGTTTTTAAATGTCTAATGTGTTTAGTTTTTAATACAATTAAATGTATAACACTCTCAAATGTAATCTTCAGTAAATCTCAAAATCAATATGCAATTTTCATACTGAATATTATAATGTTGTGATTGTAAATGTTGTAGAATATAGCATTTAGTAGGTTTTTATAATTTGACAATTTTATAATTTATTCTATCACTATATCACCATAACATGAACATAATTAGTGGTTTATTGCATTGGCCAGAATTTAATATTGGTGCATCCCTCAAATTTACAATATTACACTGAAAAGATACAATGTAATAGCTCTGGAATATTACAAGTAGAAATATCGGTTACGCTTTATTTTAAGGTGTCCTTGTTACTATGTAATTATACATTTAAGTACTGAGTAATATTAATTAACTACATGTACTTACTATATGGTTAGGATTAGGATAGGGGTTTGGCTTAGGGTTACTTGCATGTAATTATGCATAATCTATTGTTATTATAATAGTGCATGTAAAATGTGAAACCTTAAAATAAAGTGTTACCAAAATATTACATGGCTTTCATAACAAAACCTAAAATGCGTGACTTTGTAAATCTTTAAATAGAGTTTTGCCATTTGATTTTCAACAGCACAATTCACGAGAAACAGCTTATGAGATGTGAATGTTACTTTCACTTCACGCAGCCGCAGGGATATCCTAAGATCAATACCAAAATAACATTTACGCAGCTTTGCACATGGGTCAAAGACGAAAAAGGGTTAATGCATAAAAACAATAAGTGTAATACTGCTTTAAATTGTTGTTGTTTACATTAAATCACTTTTGTAAATTTCTTTTGATGCGGACATCTTAACGTCTTTGACCCACATTCGGTCGCCCGGCAGGTCTGCAATCTTCAGCAATCACTTTCAGGAGAGACTCACGACTTGTTGGGTGGGGGTTTGTTGTGTCTGCTTTGCTTTGTCTATATTCTTCGTGCTAAAAGTTGTCACATCAACTCAGGGAGATAGTTCATGCCAAACCATTTCATCTAATGTCAATCATAACGGTCTATTCTAACTTAAACACAATTGGTGGTCTGCTGTAGGGCTGCACGATAAATATCGCACAATATTTATCGTGCAGCCCTAGTCTACTGTATTCTTTCTTTGTGATGATAATGTTTCCATGGGAACCCGGCGATCCACAGTGCGTCTGGATCCAAATGGCAAGCTACTAGAGCAGCTGCGGTGGGATCTCGGTTGGTTTAGGCGTACAGTTTGGGTAAACACTTTAAACTGTTTAAATATGTGCATTTAGGGAGGGCTGTCTCTCCGGTAAACCTCTGTTAATTGTTTCTTAATCGGAGACAGTACATTTCCTCTTTCCTAAAACAGAAGTTGTGCAAAATGAGGTAGCAATATTGGGTAATGTCACGGCCATGTTACACTGATAAGACATCTGAGCATTTAAAGTTTGCTAGCATCAAAATTTAATTGCGTCAAAGTCATAGTTGAAACTGGCATACATTAAAGATAGTTCTGGGTTTAGTAAGTTAAACTCTAACGACAGCAACTGTGGCATGCTGTAATTTGACAGAAAATAGATCAGACCTTTAGTTTATACAAAGCTCGTTTGTATCTCGACCTATTATTTTATGCAAAAATACATTAAAGATGCTATTCATACATAAAATGAACACACTTCTTCTATAATGCACGTTTTTCATTTCTGAATACAAATTTTGATAAAGTCAAATATGTCAGAGTGATCCTATCCTTGATGTGATAATGAAGAAAAAGCCTCATTGAAATAATGAAATTCTTGCAAAATGTGGTGCGACCAACAAAGCAATGTGACGCACACAATGTGCGAAAACATGCAGGAAATAAAAATGTGAAATTATATCAAAGAGAGGACCCGTTAAAACTTCATGGTCAATAAGTCTCTTGAAAGATCAGATAATTTGACCTTTTTATGACATTACAAGTTTAGGTTGTAAATTGTCATATGGTACAAACCAACTTATTTTTATTTGACGGTTACACCACATGACGTGTCATAAAAAAAAAAAAACTTTTTTTCATGAAAATGGTTTAAATTATTTTTTTTTTTCAAAAGCCTCAATAAACCAACATGAATAACACATTTTCTTTATCTTCCATGATTTTTTATTCTTCTTCTGGAATATTCGGACCCAAAAACAAACAAAAAAAATTAAATACATTTCCTTACAATTACCATTTATAGGATATTAATTGCATGTTATCCCATAGACTTCCATTGCAGGCTGTATTTTAGTTCACAGTGTTAATATGGATTCACTACTAGGATGTAAAGCCACACAGACTAAACACTTTTTTTAATGGGTAACATCAATTTAATTTTTAAAAAATTAAATACATTTCCTTACAATTACCATTTATAGGATATTAATTGCATGTTATCCCATAGACTTCCATTGCAGGCTGTATTTTAGTTCACAGTGTTAATATGGATTCACTACTAGGATGTAAAGCCACACAGACTAAACACTTTTTTTAATGGGTAACATCAGACTTCTTACTAGACCGCAGGATGTAGTGTATTAGGAAACACTTGATGTCACAGCACAACTAAACTGACTCCACAAATATTGATTTCTCAAAGTGCTACGCTGCATTACTGTGATAATTGAAATTTGAACTGGTTCATAATTCCTACGATCATACTTTTGGTTTAACATTATAGAAACGTAATACTGGAAATCTCTCTTAAAAATGGTATACTTCCTTAAAACTTCTGCATTCCAGACAGATGACAACCCCACACAGCTAAAGACAGCAAAGAAAGAGTGCAGGAATTAAATGTGATGCCCAGGCTGACATCTAACATGGACACATGCAAAGAAGATGGGAGACATTCAATTCTCTCTATTGACAAACCCATTTTCTCATTGAGAATCACCAGAGCATCCAGACACATCCCTGAGTTAGACTAAACTTCATCCAAGACTCCCCAGGCAAGCAAAATATGAACATACACCAAAGATTTAAAGGCATCCCAAATCTCAGGCAAGAAGTTTTAAGAGTCGTATACATAGGCACCATATATCATAACAAAGGTACTTGCATCACTGTGCATGCAGGTCCAGTGGTAGAAAGCGTTTCAATTCATCGTTTGTTAGTGTGGAACCAAGTAGAGGTCAAGAAATAGATTGTAGAAGAGCTATGAACTAACCCACATAGAAAGGAGAATCAAAAGGCAAGCTTGAAGGATTGAAAACAGACACATCCATACACAACGCTACCATCTAGATCATCATGCAGCATTCAAAATGTGGAATTCATCAGACAGACAATGGAGATACTCACTGGTTTCCCATGGCTGCTCAGAAGAGGACAGAAGAGATACAGAGTGACACCTAAACCTTTAGCAGGTCGGAACAGTGTCACACCACACTCAGAACGATTCATGATTCATGCTAATAGAGTCTGTCATGGGCGTTTATGACCACAAACTGCGCTTCCCCTTTTAAGGTGAGCTATCGAACCACAACATAATTCAAACTCAGGAAGCATAGAGCTTACATACACACAGCGGTAACCTTAGCGAGTCTTCTCTCACCCTAAAAAAAAGGCCTCCACCTCAGGATGTGCGAAAACAAGCGATATAATGACTTGCTTTATCTGTTTATAAGGTTCCAAAATCAACATTGGTCAGTGATCATTAGAACTATGCCAGAAATCAAACGAATCAACATACCCCCAAATTGGGGAAGCTCATAACGACTCAAATGTGGGTCTGTTCTTCACACATAGCATCTCAATATATAGTGCAAAAGCCGTATGGACTAATTTTATGGTGCTTGATTTATCTTTTTTGTTATTTGTGGAGCTTAATAGACTTAGCAGCTATGATCTGTTGCAAAATAGGGCTGGGTTGACAACACCTGTTAATCAATTTTAATCGATCTTCATTTTGATTATAAAATATTTAATGTTTTCTTTTGATGCAGTTTCAGAACTTCACTGCTGTTCAATGTCCATAGCTTGTTAGACAACAAGAGAATATTTGCTGAATATATATGTAAAAAAATTTTACTGTTCGTGATGTCTTATTTAATGTATGATTGAATAATTTTGTCATGAAAACCAGTTCCCTAAAAAATGGTTCCCTTCCTGTACAGTTTAAAGCTTTAGTTGGTAGAAATTATTTTCCTTATGAAATATTGACATGTACTATACCTGATATATATTCAAATGAATCAGGCAGAATCAAGATTGGAATCGAATCAAGTGTGAATGGAATCGTGAAGTATGTGTGCCAATACCCATAAAGATTCTCTAGAATAAAATAATGCCAGAATTTTAATTATTTCACCCAAACATGAAATCCGACTGAACCTCATGCTGATCCAAAAACCTGTATGACTTTCTTGTGAGGAACACAAAGATGATATTTCAAAGAATATTTTAACATGTTTTTCCCATACAATGAAAGTCACTGGGCTCCCATGACTTCCACTGCATGAGCAAAAACCACTTTTGTTTTCCACAGAAGAAAGAAAGTCATTCAGGTTTGGAATGACATAAGGGTGAGGAAATGATGACAGAATTTTCATGTTGGTTGCACTGTCTCTTTAAGCATGGATGAGATGCTTACAGATACACAAATGCCATATGGTTGCTTGCGACAAACAACCCATCAAGTGTGTGATCCACATGTTATTTGCACACAGGTACAAAGTTCAGCTTTTAATTACAGCACATGACTTGCTCTATAACAAAATGCTGTATTTTGTTTATTTTTTTTTTATGTGCAAATAGCTCCGTCAAAGCACAGCGCGCTCAACGTGACTCTAAAGGGAAGTGAATGCCGCGGGAAAGCACAGGGAAGTTCAGCTGCCGCTTTGTTACTGTTTTAGAACACTTATAATGCAGTGATAACTGTGACTTTATTTCCTTCTACAGCCTAGTACAGAACTGCACAACTGACTGCACAAACGAGGGCTTTGCAAAGCATGCTGCTTGTAACCAGCCCTAACATTAATGCGTCTATCTGCACATCACAGTCACATTCTGACTGTCAGAGCAGCCCACAACGACTGATAAAGGCTTGGTCTATTCTAGTACACCAACTGGTCAAATAATAGACTGTTACCAACTACATCTGAGATTATTAATTGCTAAAACCGGCAGGCTGTCTGATCCCTAAGAATGTTCAAATTAGGAAATCAAACCCAACAATGCCAACACTGGCTGTGGCAAAGAGGAGGAAATATCACAAGAATGCAGAAAAGAAATGCTAATGGGCTGAAAGAGAAAGGGCACACATGTGGAACTACTTGATTGACTGGTTAATAGAAACAGATGCTATGTTCAGATAAGATAACATTGATTAAACTAAAACATCAAGCATTTTTTTCAGTCTATTAGAAGCAAGCTTTGTCCTTTTATGGTCAAATACATTGAAGTGTGGTTTCATATATTTTAAAGAGATTGTGAAATACATTTATTTAGTTTTTCTCTAAAGTCATAAGTTATTGATCATTTTTATTAGGATGCACAATATATTGGAGGTCATATTGGTATTGTTCATTTGTAATGTTAGTGTTATCTGTCAGATATGAAAATTATATATGATATTCAAAGAATTTTAAAGGTCAGGCATTTGTAACTGGTTCAAAGTAGGCTATATTTGGTAAATAATTTTGAAGTGTGTGGGGGGGGG